GTACGATGCCTTCATCCTGAATCACGTCTTGAGAAGTGTTGTAAAACCACGATGAACTAGGCTGCTAATCCACTGTTAAAACAACAAGCGACTGAGGGGTCACGAACTCATTTAGGCGCTAATCTGGATTCTTTACCTCAATCAATCTCTGTATTGCAAGAGAGTCACTGACTTGTTGCTGCGTCTAACCAATTCAGCCAAGTGTCTGCTTCATTTCTGGTCCATTTTTACATTTCATTGTCATAATACTAGGTAACCCTGCACCATATCAAAACCTTAACGCTGAAATTGCGTTACGTCAGCCTTGCGTAAATGTGAAACTGTTGACTGTTAGTAATCAGAGAAAGTTATTCTCGGCATCTGTGACGTACACGTCGACATTAGGTTTCAATTATTCACTTTCAATTTCTACTCGACTGAACAGGAGCTCATTGCGAATAAAATTGAACAATTTTTGGCTTCCGAGTCGCTTCCTACACCCCATGGGAAATAATTCGTGATTCAAATAGTTTATATTGTCTCAGAATAGAAGAAAAATATCCTAGTACAATGCCTACTTGGAGGTCCTTTCAACCGTAACGCTGCAAATATATTTAGCTCTTTGTGACCCTCGGAAGAATGAATACGTATGGTGCTTCCGTTCCTCATAAACCTCCGAGTTTGCAGCCGTTGTTTGGCTTTGTCACGCAATAGGAGTGAATGTCAGGCGTGACAACGCCAATTGATCTCTTTGACAGTCACTAATTTCTTTCTCACTGAATAGTGCAGTTTTAGCCACATTATATACAGTTTATATGAAACAAAATTAATTACCATGAAGCATAGCATAATTCTATATTTCGAGGGAGTAGATTGAGAAAAGGACTCAAATTAACCAGCGCCTAATTTCAGTCTATAAACATAGAAAGTAGCTTCTAAATCTAAAAAGTAGATAAAAGAAGCTCCTCACACAAAACAAATTTTATCTTTGGAACTCAAACCACACAGTTTCAGAAAAATATATTTCGCTACTGCTGAATCATCCATACAATCCTTGCCACATTTATTCGATTTATCCACACAGAACTTAAGCAATTTGTTATCCTGAGGAAACCAAAAGTAAAAAGCTATTGTTACGTGAGGCTTGGTACGCCACTCCGTGCTGCTTGGTATGCGGCTATATAGTTTTATGTAATTATTTACAAATGAAATATGGTTTTGTACCAAGCATCACGAATTGGCGTACCAAGAATAATTTACAGCAAAACTATCAGTGGTTGGTCAATCGAATGGTACAACTCGGCGCTGAAGCTGTCTCAGAATAGAGATGATCTCAACTAAACACAAGCCTTATCACGGGAAAAACACCACTGGACAGGCGCAAAAAGTAAATCTTTGTTTGAGGTTTGACTGCACCGGCGTGCTAAACTCAAATAAAACCTCGTCTTCAAACATGTCGCGGCACATTTGAATCTGGAAACTCTGAAGCCTTTATAAAATCGAAATAAAAGTCCTGAGAAAGTCCCGATTCCCTTCAATAGAATATTTATTTTAAAACTCGAGCAATCCGCGGGAAAGGCGAACAAGTAGTAGATAAAGAGGGATTGATCATCTGGAAGACTCTTCAACCTTTCTGGATTTTATATCTAAATGATAAGTCAGATCAGAAACAAATAATGATACGATGCATCCAAGGAAAGAAAAAAATTGTGAGTTTTCGATTGGCTCTTGACGTGTGACGTTTCACTCGTTTTCTCTATTTTTCCTAGAATAACCGGAATTATTAAAAACTGGATCATTGGATACTGCAATTCAAGACTTTTTATTGGCTTAGCCATTATGGTATATGAGCCAATATACCATAATCTACAAATATGGTAAGCGTACGCGTCAGCTTAAAATTAAAAGGGAGCTAAAAATTTAGTAAAATTTAATAAAACAATTTAATAAAACAATAAAACGTTTTCAATAAAACAATTATTCCACTCGCTCTTGTTGGATATGAAATGATTATAGCCAACGAGGCGCTACGCGCCTCGTTGGCTATCTATCATCTCATATCCAACGCACGTTCGTGGAATAATTGTTAGATATATGTTAAAGTATGACAGAGGCCAGTCGAACATTATATAAATCGTTGCGCGGTTTGCGCTTGTACAGGTGTGGTGATCGAGTCTTCTATAGGCAAGTGCACATCTTGTATTAAATCTGTTCTTTATTAACAAACAGTTCGCACAGTTGGGAAGGCGAAAAGGTAATTAAAGACCGAACCCGGGCCTGCTTTGTTGGCCCTTCATCTATCCAGGCGCTCGTGAAAACATCGAAGCTGGAATTTATACCCAAGTAATGATTGTCAAGTCCGGTGATCAATGTTTCTCCTTACGTCTTGATTGTTGCTAAAATCTGCTGCATGGTCAACATCTACAACGAGGTAAAAAAACATCCGGCCATCAGGGAATGAAAGAGCTCCTATGGAGTGCCCCAGAGCGAATCAGAGAGCCTTACTAGCAGAGAAGGAGCCTATTTATTACCTTTTTTTTACTGCTGGGAGCAGCGCAGAAGAACCTTGTTCATGTAACAATACACCCTACGGTGGATCACAAGCGATACGGCGACAGCCACAAATAAATGACGAACGTTTCGAGAGACATCATAAAAAGCTTTAAATTATTATTTCTTTTACTCACTGAAACATTTTTTGCCCAACTCTGTATCTTCCGTGGCTTGTCGTGATATTGGAAATCATATACTCTATTGTATTGCTTAGGATAACCCTAAACACTAAGCAATTTACAGTAGGGAATCAGCGCTAACTCGACCATTGCCAGCATGGTGAAAGTATGATTCATTAATGTTGGGGGCCTGCGGGTGTCTAGACTAAACCCCTCTCTTCACCCGAGAGCGTTTCCCAGATTCCCTAGCCGGAAAGGTAAGACGAGACGACGTGACCTCTGTAAACTATCAACTTATACCTAAGTCAATTCCAACATATCAATGTCACTGTTCACGAAAACCACAAATCACATTTTAAGATAGAATTGGGATCAATAACAAGTTGTAGTGTGACCGTGCAATAGCAGTACTATTGTTTTCTACTTCTGCGTAATCTAAAGGCAGGCACCAATCCCATACAAATCAGGTGAGGGTTGTTTCCTTTACGTTAGAAATGCAATTTTTGTTTTCCACTGATCATAAAATTGACTATGAATGTGTAATTACAATAGCGTATATATATATGAGAGTTAGAGTCGAATGAATCAAGAAACGGAGCTTTAGTCTCGCCGTCTGGGCGCTCGAAAGTAAATCAAAGCCTTCAACAGATTTCGAAAACATTTCACAAAACGAAAGCAGCAACTAAACAATGCTCTTTTACTTGCTACCTTAAATTTTGAACCTCTTTTCAAGCTGTGGTGGTGACCGGAAACTACAACTGTATCATCGATGATAAATAAACTAATGGATTTATTTCGTTTTGTTTCCAGAAGAGTCTCCTCACGAAGGCTTTAATCCTTTAAATACTTGCATCGTTTCATTTACCTCTTCTGGCGAAATTTTGTCGTATCTCTCGTTGGATATTGAAAAAAAGAACTAGGCCTGAAAAAACAGATCGATTACCTCTGTTGACCTTTGTGTAGTCTCCAATGTTAGTAGTTACGTCACCAGTATCTTGTTGGCAAAATCACCGGAGGGTGAAATCTTGCGCATGCGGGAACCGCGAGACCACACGATTCTTCTAAGATTTCTGTCAACGAAAGTTGGGCGACCTTCGCAAAAATCGCCCAAGAAACCAACAAACCTTGAAAACTATAAATAAATTCTGGAAACAACAATTTTTGTTTTCCTTGGTAGACACGCGCACGCCTTTAGAGAAAAAAAACTGACAGTGTTACGCCAAACAAGCTGGACAATATCAGTTAGCAGATAATAGGCTAACAAAAGATTATACTAATTAGTTCCTGAGAAAATCGAGTTTGAAGTTGGACAATAGAAAAAATTTCGATTGTAGTTTCGCGCCGGGAATTCACGGAAAAATATTTCGAATTTTGATGCGTTGATATCTCGAGAATATTCAGGTCAAGTTTCATCAAAATACGACAAAACTACGTACCCTGTTAATTTGCGGAGGTAAGTCACGTGGCCAACCTCGAGTTTTCGGCTCTGGAGAAATTCACAGTTTTCGCACCTAATGCAGTCATGCCGTCGACCAATGAAAGACAACATTGAACTTCTTGGCGAATCTCGTGACAAAGAAGTCCATTTAAATTCGTGGAAAAGGCCATTTCGCCACTTTAACCGAGTAAAACGAATGGAATAAACGAAGTCCAAAAAATTCATCGAAGAGACTAAACAGCAAGGTCAGACTTTTTTCCTTTGTCAAAATCTTCTTCCATCGATTTCTTTCATCCTGGCTTTCCCTTAGGCTTCCCCAAAGCGACTTTTCTCTCTTTGAACGTTTTATGAAGATTTTTATTAATCAGCGCTTTGGGAGATGTTACAAAAATCTCCTTCTTTTGTGCGTTGCAGTGTGCAATGTTAAAAATTATGCAAATCAGGATTCCAAACGAAAGCCTGCGAAAAACGCCAACGCTCTGCAAGAAAAGTTAGGATTATAACACCTTTCGCTAAGTACTAGCTCAGTTACCCCAAAACATTCTTCCAGCCGTATCTGGTGTTTATTCTTTGTATTTTTCCGTTCGAAAAATTTAAGTGAAATGATTTCTCTATCTAAAGAGCAAAAACCCAAATCTTGAAAAAAATTTGAGCAGATTTTTTTGACAGTAACCTCAGAGATTTTATGTTTCGAACATTTCTGAAACTACTTAATAAGCCGGTTTTGCATTATCAATGATGTATGGTCGAAATGGTTTTTTTTTATTTTGTCATCAAAAGCACCGAAAATAGTCAACAAGTTACATCTACATAATGCGTGTGCAATGCTGGAATTCAATTACATTTGTCACATCACTACTTTTTACAATGAGTACTAGTCGTAAGGCACATCATGTACCAATTACCTTCATCTCCTCCCGCCATCGCCTAGATAGCAAAATTATGCGGAAGAGCGAGCTGAGTGGACTGTAGCTTCCACTGTCTTGCTATTTCAACCCCCTCCCTCCCCGCTGGTTACACCTCCTACCCACAAAAGTGTATCGTGTTGTTTTGTATTAAAAGCTGCCCGTTCTCAAACCGGCACCAGCATGTTAGAGGGTCCAGTCTCCGAGGAGAATCTCCATCTCGAGGAAGACGAGCACGATGTAAGGACTGAGGAGTCAGGAGAAACAAAATTACGGCAGGCTGATACTTACTGGTCTTGGATCGTGTGTCTCGCTGGGATCATTTGTAACATTATTGTGCTTGGTTCGTCGTACTCATACGGTATTCTGTTTTCATCACTTCTTGATGAGTTCAAAAAGGGGAAATCCGTTACTGGTAAGTGTGATTAATTTTTTTTTAATTTTTTTTTTTAATTTTTTTTTCTATATCGGTGTTGATCTGAAGGTCAAACAACGGAATGTAAGTCGGGTCTTTGGAGTATAGGAGCGCTTTTGACTACATATATTGCTCTATAGACTATGTTCAGTGATGATCAGCGCATGCTCATACCTGTCCCTGAGCGCTGTTGACGATATTGCTCCAGAGACTATGTCCAGTGATGATCAGCGTATGCTCATACGTACTTGTCCATTTACCCGAATGTTAAGTTAAAGTGCTTCTGTCATGGTACATATTTAAACCGGTAGCATCACTTCCGAAGGCATATCTGAAAGGAATCTGTATGAAATACACGGAATACAATATGTTCTCCCCCTTTCCTTTCTTAGCTGTCAAGGGCTATCCACTGAGTCAAATCTGTATCAACATGACACAACTGATAGTAACGATTACATTTCTATTTTCTTCGTCTAGCATGGGTGGGTTCATCAGCAATCGCCGCTAGTGGTCTCTTTGGTCCTGTGGCAGGAAGGCTAATAGACCGCTTCAATGCACGGGCAGTGGTCATATCTGGTGCGCTTCTATGTGTAGGAGGCCTTTTCCTGACGTCACTGGTCCCTGATCTATATCTATTGTTTTTGACGTATGGAGGGATGTACGGATTTGGTTCGTGTCTAGTTTACATCTCATGTTATGTCATCGTACCAAAGTATTTCGTTAAACGCCGTTCCTTGGCCATTGGACTGGTTACCGTGAGCACAGGAGCAACGTTGCTAGTCATGGGTCCCGTAACTCAAGCACTAAAAGATGCATTTGGTTGGAGAGGAGCTTTCAGAGGACTCGGTTGCACGGTGATCGTCGTTTTCTTCCTCCGCTGGGTCTTAGATCCTAGAGTTGCCATTGATGAATCTGAAAAGGCGGCTGCAAGGAGTAGCCCCCAGACTCCTAAGAGCAAGATTCTGGATTTTTCTATGTGGAGAAACGCCACATTTGTAGTCTTCACTGTTTCAACATCCGTTACCTACATTGGTCAACACATACCTACAATTCATCTAGTAAGTTGTATAGGTGAATTTGATTTTTGCTTTCGGTATTTTCACTCAGAAAAGTGCAAAATTTCTTTTGGCTCACTAAAAAACATCAAGCAAATATTGAAACTTAGCCTTTTAAAAGGCTCAAGCCTACCTTTTGGATGATCAAAAAGATCATGTTTAGATTGGCACCGGCTTATGCAGGGTTATTGCAAATTTAAATGCCAAGAATAAGTCAACATTTTTTTTTAAACTTCCACCTAATAGGGAAAGTTTTGTGAGAGCCTTGGAATCTCCGAAGACTCGGTCAGCTGGCTATACTCGAGTATTGGAGCTGCTTCTCTTCTAGCCAGAATACCTGGTTCAAAGCTCTGTGACATGTTTGGTCCTCAGAGAGTGTTCCAAGTATCAGCAATAATGGGTGGAATTGGTGCCATGTTGTTTCCCCTGGCGACCAACTTGGTGTGGCTTTTCTGTTTATCCATTCTTCATGGTCTCGGAGATGGCCTTCTGGCCATTGGGATGATTCTTGGTGCTTTGAATATCCTGACGATCCAACAAAAAGCTCAGGGATACGGATTTTTCCAGCTGTGCATAAGTATTGCCCTTTTATGTGGCCCAGCAATTGGAGGTGAGTCGCCAAGATATCACAAACCTTTCAGAAAGATTGCTAATAATACTCCTAGTCTATCCAAAGCCATTTCCTCTCCGTTCAATTTTTGTTTCCGTCATATAATTGAGGCGAGGAGGCGCGTTAGATTGAGCACGAGGCGAAGGAAAAAAATCTCTGTTCATCCATCATTATCTTTTTTATTTATCGTAGTTAGGAAATAAATTATAAAAGAAGTTAAAACCATGAAGGAGTCTACCTTTAGACCACTTTCTTAAATGGCTGCTGGATTAATATTCTTTTGTTGAAATTTAAATTAGCCCTTCTGGCCTCGTTCTCCAGTACAAAATTCAAAAGATTACATTATCTCAAGCGAGGCCAGAAGGGCTAATTTAAATTTAAACAAAAGAATATTAATCCGGCAGCCATTTATGAAAGTGGTATATTCACTTAACTGGTCATTAACCCCCAATAACTCTGTCATTTTCAGGTTTGATAGCCGACAAGACCAACGACTATCACGCCACGTTCTTTTTCGCGGGTGGAATCAAGATTTTAGGAGTATTAATTCTAATCGTATACAATTGCCTCAGAAGGAAAGAACTCTCACAGGAGAAAACCCAAGCTTCCTCAGAGAAATCTATATTTATGGAACTTCTTGTTGTAGAAAAGATAACTGTTTTGTAAAGTTGTATAAAAATGAATTTTTGCGTTTTAAAACAAATAGACATAATTAGCACAAATGTTCAGTTCTGATAATCGGTAATGAATATCAGTTCAAGGTTTTAATTGGATATTCTCCATCCATTGAGCTGTTTTACTCACAGACAAAATCACAAGTAGCTGAAGAATTCTTTGTGTATTTCCTGAAACTCTGAGTTTTGTCTTAAACTACCTGTATACTTGTTTATTCGGCCTCGTCAAATTCTCTTCCTCGCTGCTCTCGCATAATAAATTAAAAGCAAAGTCATCTGCTTGTATTTCTGACTTCTCCCGACTCGCTTTGCGAGTCCGGTGAGTTCCGTTCTGCTAAACGAGAGTTGCATGTTCATGTTACATGTGCCATCTCATTTTTTTATGCTGGTCAGGGTTTGAGATATTACCAGTGGGGAAGCCGGCAGAAGAAATTTGGCAGACAGTTAGAGTAAAGCACTTTGTTATTTTTGTTCAGCGTTGTCCTTTCAAGCATTGACTTTAATCAAATAAGGAAAAGAAAAAGACAAACAAAGCAAAGAAAGATCACCTTCCCATGCATGCACAGATTTCAGCAAGATAATTTCAAACACCGTATTTTTTCAGAGGATTACTTAGTTGCAAGTCCTCCAAACAGCCAATTATACACAGTAAACCAAAAGGAAGGGAGTGTTCCTAACCCATGGTTTGTATAATCATGCGACTTCCATAGCTATATTGATTATACCGGGCTATTACATCTTGAAACGAAAACAACGAAGACTAAGTACCAGATATATTGATGCTCTGAATGGATTTTTGCCAGACGTTATCGACAACTGACACGGTTTTTCCTTGTTGAGCAGGAGTATCGTATTACAGTCACATCCCTTCAGAAAGTTTTAATAACTCTTGCATTACGTACAATTTCTAGTTAATACTTCACTTTTTCCAGAGGCTTGTGATTGCTTCAATAATTTGTATATTTTTTTTTTTTTTTTTTTTNCAAAATATATGAACTTCATATATTTCATTGTATCTCATTTATCACTTTCACGGGTTTATTACGAATCAACTTAACGGCCTGCTCCCAGTTGGCTTGTTAGCTCAATTGGTAGAGCGCTGCACTAGTATCGCAGAGGTCAGTGGTTCGAATCCCGTACAGGCCTGATTTTTTTCAGGTCTGATTTTCGCTATTGCTTAAATAGCGCTATCTACTGCGAGGATCGTGCATCATATGTATCTAATACCGCAGTACAAAATATATGAACTTCATATATTTCATTGTATCTCATTTATCACTTTCACGGGTTTATTACGAATCAACTTAACGGCCTGCTCCCAGTTGGCTTGTTAGCTCAATTGGTAGAGCGCTGCACTAGTATCGCAGAGGTCAGTGGTTCGAATCCCGTACAGGCCTGATTTTTTTCAGGTCTGATTTTCGCTATTGCTTAAATAGCGCTATCTACTGCGAGGATCGTGCACCATATGTATCTAATACCGCAGTTCAAAATATATGAACTTCATATATTTCATTGTATCTGATTTATCACTTTCACGGGTTTATTACGAATCAACTTAACGGCCTGCTCCCAGTTGGCTTGTTAGCTCAATTGGTAGAGCGCTGCACTAGTATCGCAGAGGTCAGTGGTTCGAATCCCGTACAGGCCTGATTTTTTTCAGGTCTGATTTTCGCTATTGCTTAAATAGCGCTATCTACTGCGAGGATCGTGCACCATATGTATCTAATACCGCAGTTCAAAATATATGAACTTCATATATTTCATTGTATCTGATTTATCACTTTCACGGGTTTATTACGAATCAACTTAACGGCCTGCTCCCAGTTGGCTTGTTAGCTCAATTGGTAGAGCGCTGCACTAGTATCGCAGAGGTCAGTGGTTCGAATCCCGTACAGGCCTGATTTTTTTCAGGTCTGATTTTCGCTATTGCTTAAATAGCGCTATCTACTGCGAGGATCGTGCATCATATGTATCTAATACCGCAGTACAAAATATATGAACTTCATATATTTCATTGTATCTCATTTATCACTTTCACGGGTTTATTACGAATCAACTTAACGGCCTGCTCCCAGTTGGCTTGTTAGCTCAATTGGTAGAGCGCTGCACTAGTATCGCAGAGGTCAGTGGTTCGAATCCCGTACAGGCCTGATTTTTTTCAGGTCTGATTTTCGCTATTGCTTAAATAGCGCTATCTACTGCGAGGATCGTGCATCATATGTATCTAATACCGCAGTACAAAATATATGAACTTCATATATTTCATTGTATCTCATTTATCACTTTCACGGGTTTATTACGAATCAACTTAACGGCCTGCTCCCAGTTGGCTTGTTAGCTCAATTGGTAGAGCGCTGCACTAGTATCGCAGAGGTCAGTGGTTCGAATCCCGTACAGGCCTGATTTTTTTCAGGTCTGATTTTCGCTATTGCTTAAATAGCGCTATCTACTGCGAGGATCGTGCATCATATGTATCTAATACCGCAGTACAAAATATATGAACTTCATACATTTCATTGTAACCCGAAATAGAAGATGAAAGTACTGAAACCTGCTATAGCGGCACTGAGTAAATATTAAATAGATAGATTAACTAGTATGTGTAATAGTACCTCACGCAGTTAAATTTGGAATAAAATTGGATGAAAAAATTCTTGGGACAGTCAAAATTTGGATATCAGAGAAATGTTTGAATCCAATCATCTCCAAAATTGGACTATGCAGGTATAAAATCATATAAGACTAAAAAATATGTTGTATATTCCAAGTCTGTGACATACTATAGGGTGGAAATCGCAGAAAAGACGAAGATGTATCTGTTTTTATCATTCTTTTGCCTTTTTTCCCATTATTTACTCTATTCATCTGTTCCTTTGTGTCCTTTACCAAACAATTTGGATCCCAATGATTAGCGATACTGTAATTTGTTTGACAAGGCGGAACAAGTGTGAGGCTATGATATAATTATGACACTGAAATTTGCATTTCCGTTTCAAAATGCTTGGGGTCAAGTCAACAATGACATCGTTTGAATGCCTCAAAAGAAGAGCAATGTATAACACAGCGTACAGGGATACAGCTCTTAAAATACCGATCACAGCAGTTTTATCATCAGCGATTACACTACCCGATCATAGAAACAGCCGAGAGGGCTCAAGTCTGGATTCCCTTGATTTATATGAATCCGAATTAAACCCTCTGACTGAAATGATTGGATTTCTGAGCAAGATGCTTACAAAATTCAAGTAGGTTGCTATCAAAGAACTTAAACACTCTGGCAGCGTTATCTGCCGAGAAACGCTATACGGATGGACATACAGTAGTTATCTTGACTTGAGGGATTGCTATTTTCCTTAACGGTGCTACTCTCTACAAACTCAGCCATTTATAACTGACGTAATGCGTGGTTATGGACAGATAATTAAGGGACTTCCCCCAGCAGAAGCGTATACCTATTGGTTAGAATTTATATGCAAATATCAGATTTACAGGTAAGATGAATAAATTTGTCATCCGTCTCTCGAAATTAGAAAACGCAAGCCAATGTAATGTTGAGGTTTGATAACAAAGAAAACACGGCTCTTTTCAAAATTCACTCATGGGTTCTCTCGACGAAAACTTCCTTAACGAGTACATCTACAAGAATCTCTGGGTTTCAATAAGCGGATCACAATAGCCGTACAGAGCTATCGCCTTGCGGTAGGAGGTAATTCCAGTCCGCATTTGAATTACACTAGTTCAAAATACCCAGTTAGAGGAAACAACGCTAAAAAACGAGGAACTTTTACTCTTGAACAGACATGGACAACCATGCAAGAAATACGCCGGTTAGCGATGGCGTTTCTAGCGCCGCAAGAGAAATTTCAGAAGAGCGCACAAACTATGGTCAGGAAACTTGCAACGACTTGAATGGCTCGTTATCTAGGTTTCCCTTTAATGATTCAGCCTCGATTACCTTTGAAACAAGATCTGACGATCATACAGATACTTTAAAGTTGGTGGTCTCAAGCTACAGCGCCGTTTTGATCGGTCAGTCGAGCACAAAACAAGTAAACAACGATTACTGCTGTGACCAAAAAAGGGTTTCCATTGAAGAAAAAGCCCATAGCAGAACAATAGACTCAGATGGAACTATCTTGTCCAGTATTGAGCGACCAATGCCCTTAATCAAGAAGCAAGGGTTCCTCAACGGACCACAATGCGAGACAATCATGGAAAAACTTGAGATTTTGCAGGACAATGGGCACTTTAGCGAACACGAGTACTTAGCCAGATCGTTGCTTCAACTCTGTTCCACCGAAAATAAACCAGACATGGAGTTGGCCTTAAAACTAGAGCGAGGAGTGGCCTTTTCTTATCAGAGAGAGTCTAAAAAGAGCAAGTCTATATTTACTTCACTGATACAATCACACAAAAACAAGACGTGTCACGCGCCTAATTCGAACATTCTGATAGCAAGAGCCTACTTTTTATATGTGGCTGACAGAAGAAAAAGGAAGCCTGTGAAGTTACAATGGCTCTTTGAATGCCTTAAACGCAGCGAGATTTTGTTGCAAAACCACCACTCGCCAGAGGATTGGGCTGAACTCTACCAAAATTACGGTCGCCTTTGGCTGGATCGAATGAGCCTGATACCGGATGACCAGCGGAATGCGCCAGCGAGAACAACCGCCCGAGAAAATGCGAGATATTATTTTGAGCAAGCTATCTCTTACAGCCAAGAAGATCACCGACCTAGGGTTCAACTCAAAAGGCAAAGGCACATTCGTCTCGGTCTTGCAACATTACTCCTAGACTGCGTTTCAACAGCAGCGCGAACCCTAGTGAAAGCCATTCCCTCAAGTGAAATAAAAGAAGCTGAAGAACACCTCTATATCATTCAGCAAAACCTTGGTGTTAGTGTCCCCACGGGCACAAGGATACAGCTCTTGAAAAAGCGATCGGATCAGTTTTATCGCCAAGGATGTCTCCAACTTGCAAAGGAGAGAGCTGAGGAGGCTTTTATTCTAGCTTCCTCCAATAATTTTAACACTGAATCAGACCCTATACAACCACGTATCAAGTTTCTTGACGATAATCTTGAAAAATTGAAGCTGGCTGTTTCTAGAGAACCCGAGCAGTATAGTAGTGAAACCTGCTGTAGTGAATAGAGCTTGGCAACAAAGCAAAAAAGTTCATGCACAAAGAAATATAGCACTGAAGGTTAACGTCACAAAATAAAGAAATGAATTAATAAATAAATTAAAAATGCTCAAAACTATTATTTAGGAACAAAAGGTGTCTACTAAGGTGTCCTTCGTGGTGATTTTTCTTAATTTTCTTTCCTTTTCCTCTCATTTACTTTTCCACAATAATTCCTCCAAACCAATCATTCAAGTCATTTCGTTTGTATCCCAAGAGTCAGTTTCTTCGCCTTCTCTCTAAAACCGCAGGTAGATGAGTACATGATGATTCCTCGATTCGTGAATGATGAGGAACCCTTTTATTTTGCTCAAAAAGCCTTCCTGAGCCGACTAAATCTAAAATCAACTTATCTTGTCATTCAATTTCCTGAATTAAGTGATATAAATTTTCAATTGGTAAAATAGTTCATCACTCATTCCTATGAGGTTAAAGGATCTCGTTCTACAGCAAAGGCAAGTACAAATGATGTAATGATGTAATACCTGATGACTCACGTGACGAATTTTTGCCAGAAAAGGAAAGTAGACGATGGAAATACTAAGCCTCTATCTTGCAGTCTACGCGGTTGGCAGACGTTAGTGACTGACAGTCGCCAAGGTCAATATATCACTTTGCGTTAAAACTGCAGCTAGCCGTTTTTGCCGCACAAACGGTGTGAGAGAATTACCTTGTCTTAAAGGATTATCTCAAGAGTGCTTAGAGTGCTACCCTCTGCAAGCGTCGCTACGGATAAAATAGGGACCTTAAGCAGTCGATCAGGACGGCTCCGCCAAGGAAGACGTCGTTTAAAAAAATTAATTACTACTTTCAATTAGAATTTCGAAAATGGCTGCATGTGTTTACCGTCTCATACGGCGCCACACCCCAGCCTCAGGATTACGTATAAAAGTAGCGTTCAGTTCGAAATGGAAATTAAATAATTTTCCTTCGCAGTTTCGGTTCGCAGACAACGCGAATTTTGGTGATTGCGCGTCGTTGCCTTACAATGTACGGCTAAGAAATGTACTAAGTTTTAAAACGCACGTGCTGAGCTTTGTTCTGCCAATTAGATCTTTCGTTTTTCCACGTCCTCGCTCATTGCCGTCGCCGACGTGGTTTCCTTAAGGTCCCTAATATCAAGGGACTTCCCCTCACAGGAACGTAAACCTATTGGATAGAATTTATATGCAAAGATCAGACTTTGAGCGTATTATGAATAAGTATGTCATTTGTCACTTTAAATAAAAAAGACGTTGAAAAATGTGATTGTAATGCTTTAATAATAAAGAAACATGACTCTGTTTAAAAATTATTCTTTGGATTCTCTTGACGAAACTTTGTCAACGAGTAATTCTACAAGAAGATTTGGGTTTCACTTAGCGGATCACAACAGCCGAATAGAGCTACCGGGGAATATGTAGGAAGGGAGAAAAAACAAACAAAACACATGCAAAGGGAGTTTCCCTTTTTGCCATCAAAGTTTCTTCCTAAAGCTTCGCTTGTCGCTCGAGCAAAATTTGAGACGGACATGAACACTTTGAATGTAACGATCGGAGACTGCAGCGTCGTTCTATGCGGCCGGCTAAACACCGAACAAGTAAGCAGTAATCTCTTCTACAATAGAGACGGGCTGCAGAGCGAGAATGGTCAAAAAGAAACCGACTATAACGATAACGTTGATAGAATCTGTAAGAAATTAGCGCAAAGAACTGGTATATTGAACAAGATCATAGTTAATAGAGGGGACCCCTCTATTAACTATGACAAGATTAAGTCTTGTCTCCCTTTAAGGCAAAGGATTCTCTATTACGATTCTGCTATAAGGCCACTTTTCACTTATGGCAGCGTTGTTTGGCAATCCAAAGTAACGAATAAATGTTTATTACGCCTTTTACGTCTCGAGAGAGCAGCTAGGATTATACTCGATGCATAACCACGCGCCTCTTCTGTTGTGCTTTTCAACAAATTGAAATGGCTGCCTTTTTACGCAGAAACTCGTATTAAGAAATGTGCAATATTGTATAGGAGAATTGAACACGCAGTACCAAAGTATCTTATGGACTCGTGAAATTGAATAGCTCTCGGCATTCACGTAATACCGGGTTTGCCAGCTTGAATTTTATTACGCCTACATACAAGAGAAAGACTGAAGGAGGAAGCCCGTTTGCAGTGTCTGCAATACAGGACTGGAACAATTTAAATTGTGAAATAAGGAAGCAGCCGAGTGTAAATTTTTTTAAGTGCGCCTTGAGAAAGCAATTTTTACAAGATTAAGTTCACTTGCCTTATTCATAACCATAATTTGTATTGAATTTTATTATGTATTTATTTATTTGTTCAATTTTTAATATAGAACTATTACGTTGTTTATAGTTTAATATTGTAACTTTCATTTATTTATAGTAGAGGGTCACAAGTTTATTAGTTTTTAACTATTATGTGCTACCCTCTTTAAGTAAAGACTACTACTACTACTAAAGGCGAAGTTATATCAGACAGCGGTCTAAAGGAAGCAGATAAAATCCTTACCCAGACAGCAACTGGACTAGTGGACTGCCTAGTACGCAAAGCCCAAAATAATGAAGACGCTCACTCTGGTGAAAAGATTATTGCAAGAGTTGAACTACCGATGGCCCCGATCAAGGTAAAGGGAGTTCTTAGCGGAAAGGATCCCCTAAGTGAGCTACTCCTGGAACAAGTCGAGGTTTGTCAAGATAACGGAAACTTTGATGAACACGACAGCCTCGTCACAAAGGCAATGCACCTTTATGAAGAAAGAAAAAATGTTGACATGCTGTCGGTCTTGGAGATAGAGCAAGCAGCTCCCCTCTCTTATAAAGGCCACCGGAAACTAGTTAAGAAATAGCTTTTTTTAGTAATACAATCTGACCTTAAGAGTCAAGTTTTATATCCAAATATTATAGCGGCAAAAGCCTACTACTTACTTGCGGCTCACATGAGAAGGAAAAAAGACCGCAGAACCATAAAATTTGGCCTAATTTTGGAATGTCTTCGTCGCAGCGAATGTCTACTGCAAAATTATGACTCTCCAGAGGACTTATCTTAGCTCTACCACACCTACGGTTTGGATTGGCTGGATCTCATGGACCAAACACCGGATGCAGAAAGAAATGCGCGTGCGCGAGACGCCGGAGGAGAAAGCAAAATATTACTTTGTGAAAGCTATCTATTTCAGCAAACAAGATTATCGCCTGAGAGTTCAGATTAAAAGGCAAATGCATGTTCACTACAAGCTTGCAACAATATTCCTAGATAGCTGTTCAACCGTCGCACTGGCTCAAGAAAAACCAATTCCATCCAGTGACATTAGAGAAGCCGTAGAACACCTCGAAAACATCTGCAAATTCAAGGACAGCATGCCCAATGCTACATTGATGCTATTCTATAAATCCCAAGCGGATCTATATACTCGACTTGGACAATACCAACTAGCCAAAGAAAGAGCTGACGATGCTTATCGGCTCGCATGCCTCCACCATTTCAACACAGAATATGAACCCCTACAAAAAAGAAAGTACTTCCTTGAAATGAAACTCCAAGCACCCGACCAGACTGTAAACGAAGTACAAGATCAATCCAGCCCG